AGTGGGGGACGATCGCGGGGGTGGAGGGAACGCTCGCTCCTGGATGGGAGAATGATCAGATGATCTTTCGACACTTGGCGCGGTGCGTGTATCTCAGCAGTCTGAAGCGCGTCTCCTCCTCGATACGCTTTGCTCGCATTATTTTCACAAGGTTGCCGGTGGGTCTTCTTCTTGCCTTTCGAACGTGGAGAACCGGGTCGCGGGGGTTCCGTGTCTCGTGGAATCTGGAAGAGAGAAAATTTTTTCTGGTTGAAGGAAAAGGTGTAACGTGTTCTTTTTTTTTTTTTTTTAATAGATTTTATTCGTGGTATATTTAAATTTATTAATTTTAAAACTCCATCCATAATCTGTTGTTTTTATTATTCGTTTAATGTTGCAACGTTAGTTTGTTTGTTTGGTTTAAGTTGGAAAAGTGGATTTCATTTGGTATTTTGAACGTTTCAGTTAAGGTATTAGCAGGATCTCGTTTAATATTTTAAATTTATTTATTTTTAAAATTTCGAAATCTTGTTACGATTATTTGTATTTGTTTAAAGTTGCGATTACTCTGAATATTGCTAAAGATTTTAATTAGAGCTTAGTAATTTTTTTTTATGTAAAATCGTAAATGAAATATCTAAATAAATGAATTAAAAATAGATGGGATTGAATTAAATATAATATATTCTTTTGTTTCCAATTTTATATTTCTCCTCAAAAAAATAGTTCTCTAAAACCAATCAATCTCCGATAAACCAGTTTTTTCAAAATTGATAATCAAATATCAACCTAAAACCAAAAAAACTACAATTTCAATTACATATTGTCACCAAATCGTATCATGAAAAATTCTCTATTACAAAAAAAAAAAAAGAAAAAAAAAGAAACAAAAGAGGGAAAAAATTATCAAAAATTTCAGAGCGAACGTTTCCACATTCGCATTCGTTAATTCGAATAAAGTGTTTGAGGTAGCAGCTCGATGTGCACCATGGTCGAAAGATGATTTCGTTCACGCAGCAGCCGGAAACCGCGTTGGCGGTGGACAAGGATCGCTGAAATGCGAATTCACGCGAGGCTTCACTCGACGAATTAAGGCACGCCATTTTCGTTCACCGGTGTACATCCATCTTTTGTCTTTGTTGCCATTTCTCCCTCTCCCTTTCTCCCTCTCGAAAAATCGTTCGTGTACAATAATTGGGACCGACAGACGCACGTTCTTTATCTTTTTTACTCGGTAATTGACCGTGGAGAACGGCTCGTTGTCACGTGATTAAAATGGTCGATAGGACAGGGCTCCGTTTAATCGAC